GTTTTTATTTCAAACAGTAGCAATATTGAAAACTGATGTATCTTTTAAACAAGGGCAAAGGGATTTATCAAGTTCTATATCGTAGGGGGGAAAAACGAGAGTAAAATATAATGGATGCAACAGAAAGAGGAGTTTCTGATTTCAGAAATTTCATCCAAAATTACTTCAACTGCTTTTTCATCCTTTGTAGCTATAAAGACAAGAAACTTGCTTTAAAATGTCCCTATTTTTATTTCTGCATTGGATAAGTTTTGAACTTGCAGGCAAACTATGTATATGAAGTGCACGTACATAGCCAAATAGAGAACAGTATTTCATCAAAACTTAACTACAGAGTAGCCATCTGATTTTCTTTAATTTGTGGGTTTAGGAATAAGAGAAAAAAGTGGGGGATATTACTTCAACTATTGTCTGCTTACCTCATCTGGTTCATTGAACACACAGAATGGACCCTCGTACTCTGGTTTGGGAGTAAATTCAAAATCTTCAATGTCTTCTGAAACAATCTCCCGGTTTGTGATCAAGTATCCCTGAACCACGCAATATGAGAAAGAAATACAGCTGAATGTTTGCTGGTCAAGCAGCAGCCATTGCACTATGAACCAATAATTCTCTCAAGGTATTCATTTGGAACAGAGCAAGCCCCCAGTCCGAGTTATCTCTCTGTTCCCCCTTCCTCTCATCCACATTTGACCCATACATCACCATCTAAGCAAGGAAGGGGGCTGAGCCTTCAGTGAACAGCTAAAGCAAACAAGCCTGAGGAAGAGGGGAGTGAGAACAGAATCAGCTGCTCAAGTGGATCATGAAACGATCACAGGTAAAGCAGTGAAGGGACTCCCTCTCCAAATTTCAAACCCCTCTGGTCAGAAAAGACTGCACACCCTCCTTCCCCAACATGGCTTCTTTCAGAGCAGAGTTAGTGGCGGTCCTGTTCTTATTCTCCTTTTCTGTGGGATTCTAGTTATTATACCTGAACAAATACTGGGCCACATAAGAGAATGGGGTTTAAACAAACGTCATATACAAGTGCATTTCTAGCACTATAAACACCTTCCATCCGCGGTGCAATTTGCAAACTTTCTTGCACAAACACAGAATATCACGAGGGCCAATTGTACACTGGCTTCACACTCCCTGCGTTCTTTATTATTGTACCAGCCTAGAGATCTCAGTGTATCAATCTGGAGCTGTTCATGTTCTAAACAGCACTTTTTTGGCACGACATGGAACCTCATGAGTAAATTACAGGGACAACAAATTACCTGGCCATCAATCATGTAGGAGATCATCATGATCTGGTCTGTTTCTGCATCAGGAAATTTTAAAGGGAGCTTGGTAGTCTCGATGTCAAAGGCAAGAACAACAGGATCCTAGAAGGAAAAAAAACATGTCACAGGTGCTAGAATGAGGCAGAGACTCAATGTGAGCTGAAATATAGCAGTAAGGAGTTTTCCTTCCTCCAAGCAATTTCCTCTCAGTCCACTAGCCCACTATGGACTAGTTTCTAGGATTCCATAGGCTCACCCAATGCCCAGGAATTTGAGAGAATTTTCATTCTGTGCCAAAAGAGGCCATATTTAAAGGGCCGGGAATTTCAGGAAGATCCCTGGAGCAGCCTCTGCAGAAATACTCACAGGCCGTTCCACCAAGTCATCTCGGCGAGTAATCTCAGGAGGAAAACTGACACCCCGGTGGCGAACGTTGTACCAGTGAGCCTGTCACAGGATGAGAGGATCCAGTAGAATTAAGCTGAGATGGAATTTGATCCTAGCCTCTCTCCATCACTCTATACTAATGAAGCCATTCTAAACTTATCTTCAAAGCACTGGAAGTACTACAGAAAAAAGGAGGAAGACACAATGGCAGTTCGTTCCAGCTAGTGGAAACGAACCAAACTTGCTTTATGTGGGAAAAGACCTCATGTTCTATCTCCACAAACCCCGACTTATGTATTTGCAATAAAATAACACATTTCAGGAATGTTCGTAATAATCGTTTCCTTCCAAGCGTATCACAATATCAGTACAAGATTTTTATATCCAACTGTAAACCCACCTTGCCCCAACCCAGCATTTGAAGATGGGGGCCTACAACACCTCAAATTTTCAGCTGATGTTCAGGCAGGAGTTCTGGAACTGCAGTCCAACCCATCTGAAGTGTCAGCTTGGGGAAGACTGCTGCACCTGCCTGTGATGTTGGTTGCTAGGAATTGAACAAGATGAGAAGGCCGATCTTGCCTCTGCCACTCACCACGTGAATCTTCAGATCGATGGACAGACGGATATGGTAAGGAACATCATACTCCCGCATGTCTACTATGTTGTCCATCTGGTCTGCAGTCTTCTTTGAGGGCTCCTCCTCCTTATGGGTCAGGCTATGCCCAGTGAGAGCACTAGAAAAAAAACAGCCAGTTTGTTTTACAAGACTTGTCTGCACACTGGCAAAGCATGGTTGCAACAGGGAAGAAACTGTGACTCTGTGGTCTCATCTTCATGTCTAACTGCAATACAAAGATACTTTGTTTTTAAAGGATGTTTCCTGAGCATGTTGTCTCCAATTCATCCCTGACTGACTGTGAAGGCAGCCTAAGGCCATATTTAATTGTTCCACTGTTATGGTCTTCTCCCTCTTTTCCCAGTACAAACCTTCCTCTCTGAACGGCCTGTGATGCCCTGGCAACCATATTGGCAATGGGGCCTGCCAAGCTTCTGCTGGCTGCCTGAGGCCATTGTGGGCATGCATTCTCCCCTACGGTGATTTTAACTTGAACTGCCAGCAACACTGGACACCTAGCTTGCCCAGTGCTATCTGTCTGGCTATTGCTTTACCTGCACTTTGGAAAGGGATCCCACAGGCTATATGGTATTTCTGTGGGTCTACTGTTCTTTTTCTAAACCAGTCTTATGAAAGAACAGCTGATCTACCCTTCGGCACTTTCTATTTAATCTGGAAAAGAAACAAGTCCTTGCTGCTTCAGTTCCATGAGGGCAGCAAATTTTCAGCTGCTTCTGCCAACAATGAATTCAGTGTAGCTTTATTTTGCACTGTTTAAATGACTTGAGGGGAGTGCCCTTTTTTCTACATACTTTTCTACCAACTCAAGGATGGAAGGAATGTAGATTAACGTGGCTGTGTGGAAGAGCCCTGTGACTCCTTCTCTCATCATTCTGGATGCTTCAATGCAGGAGTTACATACATGGGACAAATGATAACCTTTCTTCTACCTAAACACTACCTTCCATTATTGCTTGGGTAAAGAAATCTGACAGAACCTGTCACTTGCTGGCTTCTTGTAAAACTGCTCCCCAGTTGGGAAGTTGATTCTTGAATCTACACTATACCAGAACAGCAAGAACATACCAGAAGCTCCATGAACACGGTTCTTGTGTTACTGTGATAACATCTGTCTCCACCTTTAACCCTTTTTAGTCTGAAATGGACAAACGGTGGATTTACCACGAGAGCTCTTTCTGTCCAGGAGGAAGGGGACAGTAAAGGAAGGACAAAAACTGAGAGAGGATCCCCCACAGAAGCAGCAAACGGAGCTTCTACAAATGAATGGGACAAGTCACCCGTCATGGGAGGATCTTCTTTCTCCAAACAAAAGTAATAGAAGTAATAATTATGTGAAAGGACAAATCAAACATTATCAGAGGCGGGTAAGTTATATTACTGCATCAACCAAATGCATCCAGGAAAAGGCAAAGGCACTGAGAGTCAGGGAAAGAGCTAGGTAACCCTCTCTCACAGAGGAATTTGGAGACAACAGATCCCCATTCAATGTTATCTTGTGTGTGTTTAATATGCCCAGAAAACTTTGAGCTCAGGGACATTTCCATATTTGTTTTAGATAGTATATACTAGAAAGATGGAAGTTTGTTTCTATGAGCGAATGAAGGTTCTCTGGCAACACTGTATAATCTATGTTCTATAGCTCCTTTCAACACAAGCAACACAGCTATAGTCAAGTGACTGTCTGGAGCAGCTCAGCTCAACCAAAATGGAATTCCTCCAGGATCTGGAATTATTCTTTGACTACCCTACCTAGTCAGCAAGGTGGTGTACGTGTCCAAAACTTGGTCCCGTTCTCTATTCTTCTTTACAGCAGGGGTGATCTCCTTGCGCACTTTTACCAGGTCATCTACTGTGTTGAAAGTAAGCTTGATGTAACTTTGTTTCAGGCCAACCAGGTGATTGGGCTAAAAGAAACAAAAACAAAACAGAACCAAAACAAAACACCAGAGTCAAGCTTTGAGAGATTCACTGAGACGCATTGAGACATGGGATCAAAGCAATTTACACTACCATTTGGAGTACAGAGGAATTTTTAAAAACAGCTAAAGCAAACCAGGCTGACTGTGGCAACTTTGAGTCTTGAGAATCATTACAGCCCTGTCAGATCAGGCCAAACAGACAGGAAAGCACTCTGCATTCCATGGCGGCCATTCATTTGCGTCTAGGAATCCCATAAGCATGGGAGCTCATAGAAAAGACATGCTGTCCGTGATTCTGGAAGAAGCAAAGAGCCATCTAGGCTCATAGCTACTTAGTCTGATCTTCTGTGAATTTGTCCAACCCCTTAAATACCTTCAGCGATGGCAAAGAATTCCACTTTACGCTGTTAAAAATGTCCTTTTTATGACCAGTAAGTCATAAATCTGTCTACATTTAGTTTTAACAAATATTTAAATTAAAGTTAGCTTTATTAAGAGTACGATATGAGGCAAAACTAAAAGAGCTAAGGCTCACCGAGCAAAGACAGACAATATAATAAAAGCAAAGTATCAAAAATAATATGCATTACTATTTTGTTACATTGTCATACATATTACAGCCCCTTTTCCATTCTTTTTGCTAATCAAAAGCCATTCCCTTATCTCTGTGGTACAAGTTTTTTTCCCAACATTGGCCACATGACTTTTGGTATTTTGACTGGTGATGCCAAGAACAGCTTTGGTCCTTCTGCAAGGAAAGCAGATGCTGTATTCACGATCAGTAGATCCACCCATATGCAAAGTGGTGGAGGAGAGGAAAGCAGCAAAAGAGCGAGGTATAGGGACAACAACAGTTTCTCAGGAATATTCTAATTTCCTGTCCATGTCCCTCAAAAATATTAGGAAGGAACAGCTTGCAAACAAAATGGATCAGGATTTTTGCACTACATCTTTAAGTAAAGTAGCCATAATGTTAAAATAATATTATTGAATCCATTTCTCACCAGGTCCAGATCCTCTTTGGGTACACTTTCCAATTTTGCTATTTTCCCCTGGAATTTCTTGGAAAGGAAGGATGATACTTCTCGGTCACTACCCTAAAAAGACACCTTATATTAAATGGATTAAGCAGAACTTGTTTCTACATCCATCCAAATTCTACCTGAGCAGACGGGCCTAACAAAGTGTCTATGAACATTTGCAAAGGATACTGGGAACGATGAGCTGACCTTATCCAGCTGCTGCCTCCTTGAACTAAGAATACAGCTAAAACACAGCCATCACTCTGCTGCAATTGATGATGAGCAAATTTTCAGGAAAAGACAGTTTGTCATTGCTAATATGTTCCTGAAGAGCCTTAACATTTCTACACAAATCTCTCAGCGCACCAGGCGCTAGCACCTGTGATCACGTAATAACCACAGCAGTTATCAAGGAAGAACTTACTTACAACTTACTACTTTTAAGGCACATTCACAAATGAAATATTATAGTACAGTGCAATGTCTACTCAGGGGTAATATTACACTGGACTGAAGTCCAAATGGCTTAAGGCTTGAAATCAATCTGAGGTTGCAATTTTAGATTATACTAACCTTCTGGGCTGCAATGTAGAAGTATGGCCTATAGGGCAAAGCCACCTAGGAGAGAAAACAAACCAAGTAAGTTGAGTTTCCAGTAGGTTGTTTCTTTCTTTCTATCAGCTTAACACAAGCTACACTCTAGGGATCAGTTGTTCCTAGCCTACTCCATCTATAAAATAGGAGAAATTGCTAGACCCAATTCCAGTGAGAACCAGCAAGCATGATTAAATAATGAGATTTATAATGCAACAGTATTTGCATTATAATGCAAAATCCCCAATTCCTGTTGCAAGGGAATGATGAAAAACAAAGACTGAACTGAACTGTTGTGGGCTTCTTTCTCATATTACACTGAGAAGTTAGTGTCTGCACTGTTTTATTCAAATGAGTTAGAACACCTCTAAAAAGAACTCTCCTACACTCCAAATAGTATTGCTTCCTGCTTCCTTGCCAAAGTATTGTACGAGAGAAAGCGAGATAGCTGCCAGTTCAAAAAAGGAAAGCACGTTTACTCTTGTTTGTAACCACAGAATTCCTAAAAATGTAAATGGGAATCTTCAACAGTCACTTGATCAGGGAAGACACTTGATTCAACTTTTGTTATCTATTATTGTGTATCATGTATTAACATGTATGTGCTAAAATCCCATCCATGACATATCTTCCCCAAATTCCAGCAGTATTTTTAAAATGTACCCAAGGATAAATCTTACCTTTAAAGGTCCCCTTTTAAAGACACTACTGACCTTAAATCTACTTCCATCCTCCTGAATGAAGTAATAGTCCACAGCACTGACCAAGCGTTTATCCTCATCCAAAACCTCCGTCTAAAACAGACCAGGTCACCAAAGCCAATTAATTAGAAAATGGCATTCTCCTAACATATTTACTCTATAATTATGGGCAAGCAGATCAGTATTCTGAATTGCTTTTTTTCCCAAAGAACTGCTGATGAACTAAGCTGGGTGTAAGAGAAAATGGAGGCTCCAGGCAAGGACAGTAATTCCTGGAGCTCTGAAACTGAAAGATAATGCTAACGTAATTTGAAGCCTTTTGTAATTTCATTGTGTCAGGTTCGGTAGTGGAGGAAGAAGGGGACAGAAACACTTTGAAAACAAAAAGTAATTTTCTGCCACTACTCTAGACAGTAGTAGTAGCAATTATACACACTGAATATTTAAAGGAAAACATCTTAAAATCAACTTATGCTCTGAATGTTAGTCCCCAAATATTTCAAAATATAGGGACAACATCCTTTACAGCAGCCATGATAACAAACTTTTCTGGCATGTTCACCCAAAGAGCCATGTCTGAGCTCTATTTCTGAAGATCATAAAAAAAAAGGTTCATACCGGGTGCATGTTGATCAACCAGCCTGTCCTTTCTGCAGGTTCCTTCATCCTCTCAAATCCAAACTGCGCATCAATTTTGTCTGTCCACTGGCTGCGCTCTAAACGCCTGAGTGCAGAAAGCGAGGAGCTGTCATCCCTGTGGCAAGAAAATGAAAATGGGTTTGGCCCGTTTGTCAAGTCTCAGAACAGAGAAGCCAACACTCAAACACTGAAAAAGGTCTTCTGACAAACCACTAGCAAAATGCCTGTAGCTAAAATCGTGTGCAATCAGAAAAAGCTGCAAAATGACACATCAGTCACAAAATGCCTCGAACAGCAGTTTACAGCCTATTTTAAATATATGTAAGTTGAAGGGAATATTGAGACGCAGGAAACAAAGCAAGAGTAAGCATTCAGTTACAAGAACACTGGCACAGTTGGAATATGGTATAAAAACTTAGGAGAAAAACTTCTTTTCAGCAAATGGAAGTGCTGAGGGGGAACTGATGAAACAGACTTTCTAGTACTAACAAGCAATAGATAAATTGACAGCCATGTCACGGAAGAGACAGCAGGGAGCAATGGGAATGCCTGAGCAAAAGGCACAGAAATAAAGGCATTTAACAAGCGGATGTCAGGCTAATGTGCAGGTGAATAAATTTGGGAAGAACTGATCAACTTTCATCAATGGATAAAGGTGAAGCAACACAAGAAAAGAGAGAAAATACTATAGTAGTTGAAGAGCTTTCAGTGATGGGCCAGGAAAAAGGTTTTTTTTAAGGGCTGGAAAGGCAGGAAATTTGGAGATGAACAACGAGGAAGAGAAAATCAAGATCCCACGCGGCCTAATAAGTAGAGCGGATCAAATTGGTGCCAAGGACGGTGACGGTAATGGATGTCCCCCATTGGGGGGAGATGAGCGGGGGAGAAATTAGATAAATAAATAAATAAAATGATGGTATGACAGCTGTACGGCACGGTGAAAGAATCAATATCAGGTGATTCCTAGCTGCCCTATGAAGGCAGCAAGCCCCTCGCCAACAATAGATCTGAGGCCTGGCTGCTTCCAGAAATGAACTTTGTACATGCTCAAGCGAGCTCTTTCACTTGTTGTCGAATAAAAGCTGCAGCTCCCTCAGCAAGCAAGAAAGGTTGAGAGCTCAGGTCTGTTCCCGGACTGAAGAGATTCTCTCTGCACATGTTCAGAAGCTTCCCTTGGACGGCTTCCAACGAAGCCTCACGTCCTTTCCAGCCAGGAGCTTCCGAGGCGGTGCGCAGTTCCCACAAGAAGCTTCTGCTGATCTCGGGATCCGCCTATTTCCAGGGTTCCCAGAACGCGCCCAACACGGGGACAGGCTGGCCAAACGCGCAAAGGCACAAACCAGCCAAGTCAATACGAAGCAGCCGGTCTTTGAGGGACCAGAGTCAGTGCGTGGGGTGCAAGCGCAGCTGCGTGTCACCGGCCGTGCCAGAAAGAAGGGAACGCTTTCTGCACATGCTCAGGGGCACTGCCTCACTCGTTGACCCCCCCAGTTGAAAGCTGATGCCGAACCTGAGTCAGTTTGGCCCCCAAAACGTGCTCCGCACTTGTCTAGGGCAGGGTTCCTCAACCATGGCCGCCTTAAGACGGGTGGACTTCAACTCCCAGAATTCCCCAGCCAGCAAGGCTGGCTG